GTGGTGCATGGAAAGGGACAGCTTGTAGCATCAGGCTCTGCTAGCAGGTTTATCCAGTGCCAGACTGTGGGCTTTGCTACTGTGGCTTCCCTTTGCCTCTGTAGTCTAGTTGGGCCAAGGAGCAATTAATAGCTTCACCTTATCAGTGAGCAAAAGTCTGAGGACCACAGTCCTTGGCACTGGCAGGAGGTGGGGGGGAGGGGGGTGTGACTGAAGTCACTGTTTATCAAAAGACTGGGTCACCTTTGGGCTGAGTCGAAATGGACCAGGATCTAGCATCTGTTCCTCACTCTCACCTCCTCTATTTCAGGTGATTTAACAAAATTTGGCCGTGGTGATGCCTCTTCCCCTGCTCCTGCAACAACTCTGGCGCAGCCTCAGCAGAGCCAGACCCAGACTCACCACACCACGCAGCAGACGTTCCTGAACCCGGCGCTGCCTCCTGGCTACAGTTACACCAGTCTGCCATACTACACAGGGGTACCAGGGCTCCCCAGCACCTTCCAGTATGGGCCCGCCGTGTTCCCTGTGAGTCTCCCAGAGGCAAGGTGTGTGATTTGGACAGAAGGGTGGCACAGCAAAGCCTCTTCTCACTCTGTTCCTCTCTGTTCTGTAGGTTGCTCCTACCTCTTCCAAGCAGCATGGTGTGAATGTCAGCGTCAATGCATCAGCAACCCCTTTCCAGCAGCCCAGTGGCTATGGCTCTCATGGGTACAGCACTGGTAAGAGACCCCCAAGAGCACTTTCCACAGCAGCAGGGCTTGCTCCCAGTCTTACTGACTGTGATAGGGACTGCTGTCTTACAGCAGTAATAGAGATAGATTCCAGGGGTGCTGCTCCCAAGTAGTTTGATTATCCTTAGAAAGGCCCAGGGTTGTTCTGCATCCAGGTCTGAAGCAGGTTTGGGGGTTACAGATCACTTCATACCCTCCTCTGTGCCCCACAATCAGCTGTCTGGGCCCTTGGACTACTATCAGAAGCTTAAGCTGCTGAATGGTTTGGTTTGTTGTTTTTTTTTATCTACCTATATGTGATTAACAGAAAAGCAGTTGTTCTGGATTTGAAGTTGTTTCCCACCAGTGTTTGGCACACACTTTATAGGGAAGTGTCCTTGATTCAAAGATGCAGGAAGGTCATGAACCTGCTGCCTGTCTTGGTATTTGGTTGGTGTCTGGCTGACTTATGTAGGGCTGCATTTGGCTCTCTCTACCAGTCTTTAAATTCCTTTTGTCACTTTTTTCACTGCATTAGAGCCCTTCAAGTATTCTCTCTTTGAGAAGGTATTTCAGCTTTGTACCAGGTCACCTGGTGCTGAGTCCTTCAAACTGCTTTCATTTCAGCACTTTTCCCAGGTATTAAATAATGGTTGAGGTGTCCTCTGGGCCACCCTCTTTTATGGACAGCCAACACCCCATGGGGGTGCACCAGCCATCCCAGCCTACAGCTGAGTTTACATGCAATTGCCTGTTTTACACTGGAGGAGCTTTTGGGCTGTCCTTGCTGCTGTGCCACATGCTGTGGGTTTGTCCATTGTGTTCCCCAAGTCTCCTCGGAGCTGCTGTTTCCCATGTGTTTCTCTGGGTGGCAGCCAGCCCTTCAGCTGGTTTCTGGAGGCATTTTGAAACAGTGTGTGTCCAGAGCAAAATAACTTATATGGGTGCTTTGCATGTGGTCATGCCAGGGCCTGGCTGCCCAGGCCAGTCTGTCTGCAGATCTCTGACCACTGGAGCTCTCCACCAGGTGCTGCTGGTGTTAGCAGCAAGCAGCTCCTGCTGACCCACTGGCTGCTGCCTGACACCCACCTCTCCCTTCTCCCCAGGTGTATCCGTGACATCCAGTAATACAGGCGTGCCAGACATCTCGGGCTCTGTCTACTCCAAAACTCAGGTTAGTGTCTGTGTGCTTCCTGCATTGCTGGGGAGGAGAAGCCAAGCCTCTCTGGGCAATGAGGTCTCTTCCCCTTGGATCAGACAGCCAGGGAGAAGGGAAATGCCTGACCTTTCCCAGCTTACAGCAATTCCAAGCCCAGAAAGAGCCATAGGAACGGACTCTATCTGTTCTCTGTACCACAGGCTGACTCTGGGCCTGTGACGTATAGAGATGGGGAGGGGCACACTGCCAGCCTGGCACCCCGCCCTTATTCTGCCTTTGGCATCTCCTTCTTAGCAATCCTTCGAGAAGCAGGGATTTCACACTGGAACCCCAGCAGCCTCCTTCAACCTGCCTTCGGCGCTGGGCAGCGGCGGCCCCATCAACCCTGCGACAGCAGCGGCGTACCCCCCCACCCCCTTCATGCACATCCTGACCCCGCATCAGCAGCCTCACTCGCAGATCCTCCACCACCACCTGCAGCAGGATGGGCAGGTAAGCAATGCCCCTGGCACCTCAGCCCCTTGCTGGGGTATCTCCTAGGGCTCTCGCACCCCCTTTATTTCCCTGGTCCCTCTGTCCCTCCCTGCCTCCTTCCCTCATGCTCTGCGGCGGACACATGCAGTGACATGCACACGCTCACACCTGCACATACACACAGGGCCAGTAAGAGGATGATGAGGTGAGAAGGAAGGCCTGGGGTGTGCTCTGCCAGGGTGGGTACTCAGCACAACCCCCCTGCTGCTGGGTTGCACCAGGTATGGCCAGGTAGTGCCCCCTCATGCAGACACATCTGGGGCACCCTGACCTCCCCCATCCTCAGAGGGGCAGCTCCCCACGCCAGCACCAAAGGGGTTCCTTGCCATAGCCACGACCCTACAGGAGCTTTCAGGTCTAACCGTGGATTTCTATTGTCATAGTTTGTCCCTTTATTTTACATATCCTGGTACTGCAACAGCTTCCATATTTGCAGATGATACTGTGCTGCCAACGCCAGCAGGAAGATCAGGTAATGAACTCTCTGAAAATGCATTGCACTTGCTGTGGGCTCTGCCCCCACCCCGAAGGCTCCCCAGGATCACATAGCCCCTTCCTTCTCCCCCATGGCCCTGCGAGGAGAGAGGCCCTCAGAAACTATGTGCACACACACACACACACACACACCCGCGCGCAGACACAACCCACACCGACCCTTCCCCGTGTCCCTTCTCCCTGCTGGCCTGGAGCAAGGTGTGCGGCCGAGGGAGGGTGCTGGGGCACAGACGGTGCAGCTGCGAGGTGCTGGAGGCTGCCCGTGCCAGGGAGCTGAGCTGGGCCGAGGCGGAGGAGCCGTAGCGCAGAGCACCTGGCCAGGGCCCAGGCGTGCCCGTGTTACCCTGTGGGTAGGCTGGGGGTGCTTCCCCTGCGCTCACCTCCCGCTTCTCCTCTACCCTTTCCCGCAGAGCGGCTCCGGGCAGCGCAGCCAAGGCAGCTCCATCCCCCAGAAATCCCAGGCCAACAAGTCCGCCTACAACAGCTACAGCTGGGGCGCCAACTGAGGCCGGGCCCTCGGCACCACTTGCTTCCGGAAGAGAATCCCAGTGACCCCGATGATGAGGAAGGATCCCAGGGAGGAGAGAGCCCTGCGGCGGGGAGCGCCCGGGCCCCCAGCCCCAGCAGGGCCCCGCAGGGCAGGCCGCAGGCACCTCTGCGTTGTCTGTCTTCAGCCACTTTCCTGTTGTATGTAATATAGAATTTGTATTTTTTCTTTTTTTTCTTCCTTTTTTTTTTTTTTTTTTTTTTTTCCTCTCTCTCTCCGCATTCAGATCTGAACCGTTTGCCGTAGGGGCCTTTTTTGGTTTTTACTCCTTTCTATCCCCTCTCCTATCCAGCTGCCCCAGAATCTCTCAGATCCAAAGGAGTGGAAGCTGCGAGTCGCCTACAGCAAACCCCCTTATTATTAGGATTAAGACCAGTAATTGATATGAGCAGCATTGTAAGATTAATTAGTTGAAGTGTTTTTTTTGTACCGTGTTCTAAATTTAATGGATAAATGTGTCTTGTATATAAAAACAAAAACCCCATGCTGTCCTCTAGTTCTCTCATTTCTCCCCCACCCCGCCGAGGGGTCCCCCCTGGTATTTTATGTTCTCCATCTGCGTCCCTCCATCCTCACGGGCCCAGAGTGCAGGTCCTGCCCTGCTTGCACGCTGTAAGTATCTTCTGCTTTTGGGTTGGGGATTTTTTTATTTTCTTTTTTTTTTTCCTTTTTTTTTCTGTTTTGTGGGGTTTGGTTTGGTTTGGTTTTTTGGGGTTTTATTTTTGTTTTTTTTCTATGCAGTCCAGATCTTGTATTTTTCAGTTCCACCTGATCCCTTCAGCTGCAGCCCCGAGTGGGGATTTACTGAAGAGAATAAAGATCACAAAGTGATGTGTGTATTTTTTCCACCTTCTCAGCCTCGTTCCCTATTTTTGGTGCAGGGGGTTGGGTGGCCCTGGGCAGTGGGGGCAGTGCTTCCCACACCCCTCCCCAGCTTCTTGCTGGTGTTTTTGTCCCCTCCTTTTGTGGATTTTTCCTTTTCCCAGCTGCAGCGCTGGGCAGCAGGATGCCAGCACAGGGATAATGCCCTCTCTGAGACCCTCACCCTTCATTTCTGCTTCCTACTGAGCTCTGCCTATGTCCCCACTGCTCTGGTGCTGCTGTTCCTCCCTTTGGGGGTTCAGGGGTGCTCTCCCCCTCCCCTCCTCCCTCGAGCTCACAGGGCAGGGGAGGGCAGTGAGACACTGCAAGCAGTGCCTGTCCCTGCAGTGCCCGCCGGCCCTCCCCTCAGCCTCCTCGCTGCCAGGTCAGGGCTGGGGGCGAAGCTGGAGCCCGCCGGTGCTGCGGGGGGCTGAGGGGGAGCGGCAGGGCTGGGCTGGGCGCTGGAGCTCGGCTGCGGGCACAGAGCAGGGCTGGGGGAGCACCGGCACCGCTGCGGGGCCCGGGCCCCCGCCAGCCCTCACCCGCCCCACGGGCACTCCCCGGGGTAGCTCGTGCGAACAGCACGGGGCCGCGGGCCCGGGCCGGGCACACCGGGACGGCTCCGGCCCGTGCGGCTCTCGGGGGCCCGGGCCGCTCACACCGGGACGGCCGCGCTGCCTCAGCGCTTCGCGACACCCGGCGGCGCTTTACGGCCGTGGCGCTTGACGGCAGCGCGACCCGGGCAGGACGGGGTAGCGGGACCCGGAGGGGCTCGGGGCGGGATGAGCTTCTACGACGTGTTTCGCGGCTTCTTCGGGTTCCCGGGACGGTGCAGGTGACCTGGGCCTCTCCCGTCCCCTGGGTGCCCCCGGCCTCGCCCGCACCTGTCCCTCTCTCAACCGCCCGTTGCCCCACCGGCCCCGGGCCTCCCCCGCTTGCTCCGGGCTGTCCGGGTGTCTCACTGCCGCGGTCCCGCAGACCCCGGGACCCGCTCTTCGGCGGCGCGGCGTGGGACGAGGAGGAGGAGGAAGACGATGGCGGCCCGTCCATGTCGCAGCCCCCCCAGGACTTCGGCTTCGGGTTCAGCCCTGGCTCCTCCCGCGGCGCCTTCGAGGAGCTATTCCGGGACATGGGCGAGCTCCTGGGCGTGCTGGGGGGGTTCTGGGCCGAGCCCCAGCAGCCTTTCGGTGGGTACGGGAAGGGCTGAGCGAGACTCGGGGCCGCTCAGAGCCCCTCGGCTCGGCCTGACCGACGCCTTGTGCTGCCCAGAGCCCGCCCTGCCCGGCCCCGGTGAAGGCAGCGCAAGGCGACCGCTGCGGGACTCGATGCTGAAGCACCCGGAGAGTCCCCCTGCCAGCGCGGCCCCGGGGAGCTCCGGCGATCTGGCCCGGCCATGGAGACCCTTCTTAGGGGTGCGTGAGGGGTCTGGGCTCTGCCTCCCGCAGGCTCAGCAGCGGCAGCCAGCTCTGTGCTGCTGCAGTGTTGCCACTGCCGTCAGCGGTGCGGGGCTTTGTCTTGCAGCTGGAAGATGCTCCCCGGGCTCCTCCTGGCCTCAAGGAAGACCAAGGTGGGTGCTGGGAGCAGGGGCTGAGGGGCCTCTGCCCTCCCTGCTCCCCCGCCTGGGCTGCCACAGCCTCTGGGGCGTGTTCCCTCGTGTGGCCAGCACCTTCCATCTCCCCCCAGACCTGGACTCCCAGGTCTCCTCCGCTGGGCTGGGGACCATCCTGAGACCCAACGAGCCCGAGTCCCACTCTTACTTCCAGAGCGTCTCTGTCACCAAAGTGACTCTCCCTGACGGGGTGAGTGTCCCTGCAGGGGCAGCAGGGCTGTGGGAGGCCTGGGGACACCGTCTCTCAGGGCTCGGCGCTGTGCACAGGGCGTGGAGGAGCGCCGCACTGTGCAGGACAGCCAGGGCCGCCGCGAGACAACGGTGACGCGCCGCAGGGGGGACCAGGCCTTCATCACCACCACCAAGGAGGACGGGCAGAAGAGGGACTACCGGGAGGAGGTGGTCAACATGGATGACCGTGAGTGGGGGTCTGGGGAGGATGCAGAGAGTGGACAGGGGCCCCACTGAGGGAGTTCTCTCTGCCCTCCCAGGGGAGCTGGCACAGTTTGCTGGCACGTGGCCACAGCAAGAGCTTCCTGCTGCCGACCCGGGCGACCCCTCATCTGTGCTGGGCAGCTTCTTCCGACGCTGGTTCTCGAGCTGGTAGCTGTGTCCAGTCCTGACTGAGCAGCCCATGTGTGTGACAGGTGCAGGCTGGGGGGACCCTGGGCTTGCCAGGCCTGTCAGAGCAGGCAGTGGCAGCAGCCTCTTCTCACCACTTGTTTTTGTTGTAGATGGGTCAGATCTTGCTGGGAAGTGGTGCCTGGGCTGGAGGCTGTCCAGCTTCTGCAGCGCTGCAGAGCCCACAGGGAGCCCTGTGGGGGTCAAGTGTATGTGTGTACAGAGCAATAAAATCTATTTATGCTAAATGGTGACTTTCCATGCTCCTTCAGACTGGAATCTAGGTGTTTGGAGGCAGATTCCCCTGTCCACCAGGATGACTCTGGGGGGGCTGCTTCAGGAGTGCAGGTGATGGCTGGGCTCCTGTACCTGCACTGCTCCCTTCTTAACCTCCCTCTCCCTTTTCCCTTCCCGATGCTGTGTTAATGCCTCCCCTGGGCCGCTCTTGAGGGCCTGGCCCAGCCTGGAGGCCTTTCCAGGACCTCTTTATTAGTGTTGACTGCAGATGTGGCTTGGGCAGGGATGTGGCAGGGATAAAGGGGGTTCCTGGCCAAGCAATCCCTGTGCCTGCTCACCCGAGTGAGGTCTTGGCTCCCCACAGGCACTTGGGGATCAGGGTGTTCCTACCTGGCCTTGCCCTGCTGGGGTGCAGCATTGTCACAAGGTGTCCCCGGCCACACACAGGACTCTGGTCGCTGCCAGGCGTCTCCCGTGGTGCAGCCATGATTGGTTTAAAGTCTGCACATAATCACCCACCTGGCTGTGGGGCTCATAAAACCTGCTGCAAATTAGACATCTACACCACTCTCACCGCTGCCACCGCTGCTGCTGCTGCCTCTGCCCAGCTGGCACTATGGGCACCACTTCTTTCTTGACGAAGGCCCAGGGTCTGCTCCGCATCCGGAACCAGCTGGTGCGGGAATGCCTGGCTGAGGTGCTGGCCACCTTTGTGATGATGGTAAGCAGGGCACGCAGGGGGTTGTGGCTGGGGGGTGTCATGTGTGTGTGACAGGGCTGATGGTGTCGTGGTGGCAGGTGCCAGGGGTCCCGGAGCTCTGCTGCTTGCCCCTTGGGGTTGGAAGGGTTTGGGGCTGTGCCACACTCAAATGTGCAGCTCGGCACTGCCTGTCCTCTCTCTTGGACCCTGTTCCCACAGCATGGTCCACCCTGTGCCATGGCAATCAGGGTGTGGTGCTGGGCAGTGTGTGCTCTGATACCTCCTGCCTCAGAGCAGCCAAAGGCTGGGGCTCTGGTGCAGTTCTTAGCCTTTGGGCTGCATCCCAGGATGGCAAATGGTGTGCCTGGGGCTATGTTGGGGCACCTCTTCCCCAACTCCTCCCCACAGAAAGCAGTTTATTTAATTGCTTATAATTTGGTTACTTTGCCATCAAAAACACACGTGAGGGCAGTAACCACCTCTCTGCCAGTCCCTGTCTGGTGTCCAAGTACTGGGGAGCAAAACCAGGGGGGGCAGCACTGGCATAGCCCTCACCTTGCTGCCCTGCAGTATCAACAGTGGGAGGGTCTCAGCACCAGGCCAGCAGGGCTGAGGTGGGGCTGCATCCCTCTTCTCCAGACAATCACCCTGGGCAGCGCTGCACAGAAGATTGCCTTCTTTGAGACGAAGGGGAACCTCATCACCAGCTACCTGGGAGGCGCCCTGGGTGTCATGGCAGGCATCTACACAGCAGGGGGAATCTCTGGTGAGACAGAGGAAGGGGTTCCAGCTCTTGCTCTCCCCTGGCTCTGAGTCCCCCAGGACCCTCCACTTCCAGCCCTTCTCTCTACTCCATTGCAGGGGCCCACATGAACCCAGCGTTCTCCTTAGCCATGTGCCTGATAGAGCAGTTTCCCTGGTGGAAGTTTCCTATCTTTGTGGTTGTGCAGATCGTGGGATCTTTCATATCTGCTGCAGCTGTTTACATCCTCTACTATGGTATGGGGGAGGAGCATCAGACAAGGGAACCCCATGGTGATGCTGGGGAGGCCAGGCTTATGTACATGCTCTGCCTCTGCCCCCAGATGCCATCTGGCACCATAGCAATGGGACCCTTACTGTCACTGGCCCACAAGAAACTGCCTCCATCTTCGCCACTTACCCTGCTGACTTTGTCTCTGTCGCCAATGGCTTCTTGGACCAGGTGGGTGCCACTGTCAGCTCCCCCAGCCCCCTCAGTCTCCATGGTGCTGAGCTGCCGTGCTGTCCTCGCAGGTGATCGGCACAGGGGTGCTGATAGTGGTTGTCATGGGCATCATGGACCCCCGCAACAAGCCTGTCCCCAAGGGCCTGGAACCAGTGGTTGTGGCTCTCTTGGTGCTCTCCATTGAGTGCTCCATGGGGGCCAACTGCGGCTGCCCCCTGAACCCTGCACGGGACATCGGGCCCCGCCTCTTCACCTATCTGGCAGGTTGGGGCCCAGAGGTCTTCAGGTGGGTAGAGGGAAGGGGGCGAGTTGGGGATGTCAGGGATGATCCTGAGCCTACCCTGTCCCATCCTCAGCAGGGGCAATGGGTGGTGGTGGGTGCCACTGGTAGCACCACTGCTGGGGGCCGCCGTGGGCACGTACCTGTACCAGCTCTTCGTGGCTTTCCACTACCCGGCGGAGGACAGCAAAGTCCTGGCAGATCAGGGCTCCATCGTTCTGGTCAACACCGCCATCGACGCAGACATTGGGATGTCGCCCAAGGAAAAGGACGCTGGGGAGACAGTGCCTGCCGAGTATCCCCCATCACCAAGCGCCAGCAGCACAGTCTCCCGCACAGTCACTGTCACACCATTAAAAGAGTCCTGAGGGCAGGGGGTGTCTCGTCTATGTACACAGGGGTGCAGGGATATGGTGGAAGGCCAGCCCGGCCCGGCTTCAGGGGGACCCCAGCCTGGGGGACACGAGCGGCTAGTGTGGGGGATGTCCCCGGGACCCCGGCACTGCCCCGGCAACCCGTGGAGCTGTCTCTGCTCCCCGGACTCACACGGCTCCCCTGGAGCCGCCCCGCTGGCCAGGCCGCCGCCGGGGCCGCAGCGTGGGCCAGCCCCGCGGCCGCGCTCCGCCGCTTCCCCGCGCCCCCCACCTCACTTCCGCCGCCGACCGGCGCCGCCGCGGCCATGGGGAGCTGAGGCGGCGGCAGAGGCAGCGGCCCCGGCCCGGCCCGGCCGCCCGCCCGCTCCCCATGGGCTGCGGGGCCGCGGGACATGGAGCGGTGCGCGGCCCGCCGAGCCCCGGGTAAGCGGGGCCGCGGTGGGCCCGGGAGAGGCCCGGCTGCAGCCCGGGTGGGTCCGTCCCGCTCGGGCCCCGGTGCGGCCGTTGCCCCAGTAACGCGGTGGGGCGGGAGGGCCGGGCCGGCGGCGGCAGCTCGGGCCGTGCCCCGGGAGATGTCCGAGAGGTGGCAGCGGGTCCGCGACCCCGGCGGGGCGGGTGGTGCGGGATGGCTGCGGCGGGGGAGCAGAAAAGGGGCCGGGGGTGCAGAGATGGGGGCCGTGGCTGCAGCTAAGCGGGGCTGGGAGTGCGGACCTCGGAGGGTTGGGGTGCTGGACTGGGGATCCAGGAATGCAGCAAAGCAAGGCTGAGGGAGCAGAGGTGTCCTCTGGGGATGCAGTATCTGGGCTGGAAGGGTCCGGTGACCTCGGGGTGCCGAGCTGGGGGAGCAGGGAGATGCAGAATCTGGGGCTCTGGGAGTGCAGGTAAGTAGAGCTGGGGGTCTCGCAGTGCAGGCTTGGGGGCATCTGGGGATGCAGAATTTGGGAGTGGAGGTGCAGTTAAGCAAGGTTGGGGTTCAAGGTGTGCAGGGGTACAGGTCCTGGCATGGGGGAGCACAGGACCACATGACACAGCTGGGGAGACTCCCTGTTCCCTGCCTTCTGGGATTTTGGCTCTCAGGATGGAGAGGAGATTGGAGTGTCGGGGTTCAGGGTCCTGGGGCTGTGTGGCTGCAGATACAGGGGGTGTCGGGGTGCATGGGGGTGACAGGGCGCTGTGTTGTAGAGGAGGAGCGTCGAGTGCGAGCCAACGCGCGGGAGTACAACGAGAAGTTCCAGTACGCAGTGAGTGAGGGGGGGCTGAACCCCTTCCCGGGGTCCTCGGGCAGGTCTGTGGGGCTGGGGTCTGAATCACCCACACCTCGGTGGGGGGGGTGAGGAGTGGGGGAGGCATTATAACTACAAAATAGATGTTTGTCCCTGAAAACGTGGTGCTGATGACATGAATGCCAATATAGCTGGGGCTGTCCGGGCACAGTGCACTCCATGTGGAGGATTCAGCCCGCCCATCCTTGGCCAAGGTCCAGAACCCTCCGGCTCCGCCCAGATCCCAGCCTGGTCCCGCATCCCAGTGTGGATCATGGGGCAGCTTCTGAAGGTGCCAGGGGAGGGCAGTGCTCATCTTGACCTCCCCCCACGTTGGAGGTTATCCTTGGCTGCTCTGGAGCTGGCTGCAGAGAGGGGAGAAGGGGGTCTGGGTTGGGGTCACCCTTGTGGGGGCCAGGTGCTGCTGCTGGAGGAGGCTGGTCCCAGGGTACCGGCTGGTGACTGAGCCTGAGGAACTGGCTTCCCAAGGAAGCTGCCAGAGGTAGCACAGGAGCGGGAGCCTGACCTCCCGTGAGTTTTACCCTTACCATGGCAAAAGAACATGGTGAGCCACAGCCCCGGCCCTCCAGAGTGATCTCATCTTGGGGGGCTATGGGGCCTCGGCAGCCTGTAAACCCCTTTCTTGCCTCATGCTGTCCCTAGAGCAACTGCATCAAGACCTCCAAGTACAACATTGTCACCTTCCTGCCTGTCAACCTCTTCGAGCAGTTCCAGGAAGTGGCCAACACCTATTTCCTCTTCCTCCTCATCCTGCAGGTGAGTGCAGTCCTTCCCTGCCTGGACATATGGGAGGGCTCCAAGTAGTGCCATACTTTGGAAGTGGGGAGGTTTGGCACCCTCCAGCAGGGGCAGTATGGGCCTGGGGCTGGCTGGTTCCTGTGTAATTTCTTGTTCCCTGTCCCCAGCTGATTCCTCAGATCTCTTCACTCTCCTGGTTTACCACCATCGTGCCTTTGGTTCTTGTCTTAACCATCACAGCTGTCAAAGATGCCACCGATGACTATGTGAGTGGTTCCCCCTGCGCCTCTCTGCCCACTGGGCAGGGGGTTGGGATGCTGTGCAAGGGTGCAGTGTCCAGGGCCATGGCATTTGAGATGGGGGGGAGCACAGGACCCCATCCCCAAGAGGCTGACACTGCTGTCTCTTCCCCTTGCTCCCAGTTCCGCC